AATTCCTCCCTCAAAAATGCATCACAAAGGAAGTCTGCTTCTACTGCTGGGGAGAATTCTCATCATCTCACCTCAACCCAGTCTTTAAGAACAAGCAGCTTCTTTTTTTTTTTTTTTTTTTTTTGCGGTACGCGGGCCTCTCACTGCTGTGGCCTCTCCTGTTGCGGAGCACAGGCTCCGGATGCGCAGGCTCAGCGGCCATGGCTCACGGGCCCAGCCGCTCCGCGGCATGTGGGATCTTCCCGGACCGGGGCACGAACCCGTGTCCCCTGCATCGGCAGGCGGACTCTCAACCACTGCGCCACCGGGGAAGCCAAGAACAAGCGGCTTTTTGATTGCCCTTTTACAGGGCTCAGCTCGAACTTTAGTGGGGTGAGGACAGTCAACCAGAGGAAGTTCCATGGGAGACAGGGGTCTGTGATTTAGACTGAAGCTTAACAAGAGGAGCTGATAAAGCAGCAGTTCCACAGTACTCCCTCCTTGGCTTGAGCCAGCGAGGAATTCTTGTTTCGTGTATCACAAAACTAGCTCTGCAGATTGGTCCATGACTGGGTCAGAAGCAGATATCTCTGGTGTGGACTCCAGATTCAGACTGCTTGGGTTCCATCACTTACATGCTGAGAGACAATGGCCAAGTGACTTAACCCATCAGTTGCTCAGTTTCTACATCTATAAAATGGGCCTCTGAACAATACCTTTCTCTTAGTATGGCTGTAAAGGTTAGATGAGATGGTATATATGAAATTGCTTAGCACAGGTTCTGGAACATATTAAGTATTCAATAAATGGTAGCTGTTGTCATCAGCAGCAGTAGTTGTACTTGCAAAACAGCCGATAAGGGAAAGTGAGCTATAGGGAGCAGAGTTTTGCTCACTGCCCTGTAACTGGCATGTTGCTTGGAAAACTCCAAGATGCTCCAGTGGTCTTGTCTGCCTTCCAAGAAAATCAAACAACAGGTGCTAGGCTGTCTTAACTTATTCCATTCCTAAGACAGTCTGGTTTGGTTAAGACCTCCCGGAGCAGGTTTAACATCGACCGGAGCCAGCATTTACACGAAAGCTTCCACCTCAAATGCCTGCCTGCCCCACTTGAATCCCTCTTCCGTGCATATGCCGTGCAATCAATGAGTACTAACTGCATGTGCCGATCCCCCAGGGGAGCTGTAACGGTGCAGCTTACTGCTGCCCATCAGAGGGGAAAGTGATGGCTCCGGAGACACGCTGACTGCTTGCTTTCCTTGCCCTGGGGAGGACTGACCCCTGAGCTGCAAGGTGACATATCTGGGGGCACTCTGGCTGGCTGCACACTCAGGATCATCATCTCCACTCACATCCTAGAAACCCAGGAGCCAGGGTGGGCAGGGGAACGGCGAACAGCTAAGCTTTCACTCTGTTTCTGGTGAGGAAGGGCATGGACGGAGCCTGGGAGAAGAGGATAGGTCACTTCTTGGGTGATCAGAGTTGGGCGCGCATGCCCAGTGGCATGTCTGGTCCTAACCTTGGATTCTGAGATGTCTCTGTGTGGGAAATTTCAGTTCTCTGCAGTTTAGGAGGGAGTCTCTAAACACACTTCTTGCCCTACTGGGCACCTGACTCGTGTTCCAGTAGCCTGTTTTAAGGAAGGAAACTGACAGGCTCCCTTGCATCCCCCGAAGATCATAAGGCTTGTTACTGATAACAAATGTGTGTTTATACAATGAAAGTCTGCAGGAACTGAACCTGTTTAGGATTAATTACAGGGAGACATACTAGCTATTTTCAAACACTTGAAGAATATGAGAATAGCCTTTTCTGAGTTTCCCAGAAGCCATTACTGAGGTTTAGTATAAGAAAGAGCTTCCTAACCTTCTAACTACACTGAGACAACTTATCACAGAAACTTATCAGCAAAAGAGCAGTAGGATTTGTCCCAGGGTGCGTGGGACAGGTTTCCATACCAGCTGGGTGACAGGCTGTCCTGGAAGCCCTGAAGATTTTGGAAGTCCAACTAAAGGAGGTGACTCTTGTGAGGCTGACACCAAGAGGATAGGGGTTTGGGGGTCCTTCCCAGGACTGCTGAAGCTTGTCCATGGAGACCCATTTGCTGCAGCCTCTGAGAAATTCTGAAGGCTGAGACATTCTCCTATCAGCATTGGCCATCTGCCCGAATAAACAGGGCAAGAGAATGACCCAGGAGGGCTGGGTACAGAACAGGCTGGGCAAGTGTGGTGGAAGAGCTGAAAAGTTTAGAGAAACAGGGAAAGGGGAGATGGGCAGTCAGGACAACCAACTACAATGCACCTGCTTTACTCCTGGTAGCATCGTGACAAGGGCCAGAAAGGAAACATCCAAGATCATTCTGGGTGGCAGAGACAGCTTGGCTTTGTGATGCGCCCATAACTTGAGAGATGGAGAGAGAAGAAAAAAACACAAACCTCTTGCAAAAAGTCTTCGAGTCAAAGGACAGGAAATTTCCCAGACTAGCAGGGTATTCTAATCAGAGCCTTCTTATCGGAGTGTCTCCAGTCTAACAAGGAGAAATCCAATCTACCGCAGGCTGAACGTTAAATTAGATCTAATCAGGACCTGCTTTCTAACTGCTCAACAGCAGGTCAAAGCCCAATGACGGCTACAGTTGCTGGTTCTTTCTGGAAAGTGAGGTGGCCTGAGTTGTGTCAACTTCTCAGTCTCGGGAGAAGGGGCGATGCTTTGTCTTTACTCCCAGCTACTCAACTCCCTCTGCTCAAAATGGTGATACTCAACCAGAGTTGCCTTCCCCTTCCATGCAAAGTCCTGTTAACTCCAGTCATCTCACGACTGCTGTCAGCTTGGAGCTGGGATACATTTCCTTTTTTTATTTTTATTTTATTTATTTATGCATTTTTTGCAGTATGCGGGCCTCTCACTGTTGTAGCCTCTCCCGTTGTGGACCACAGGCTCCGGACGCGCAGGCTCAGCGGCCATGGCTCACGGACCCAGCTGCTCCGCGGCATGTGGGATCTTCCCGGACCGGGGCACGGACCCCTGTCCCCTGCATCGGCAGGCGGACTCTCAAAACATGCACTTATGGAATCTTTGCTACATGCCCTGCACTGTGCTAGGCACTTTGACGCATGCTACATTTCTCCTTAATGCATGCAAGGGCATAGAGCTTTCTGCGGTCAAAACACAGCCTGTAAAAGGATATTCACTCCAGCCCAGTGAAACGCACCACCTCCAAATCTAACTCTAGGCCATGCTATTGTTACTCTTCTTGGAAGGGATTAATAGCTACAGTTAACTGGCCTTATAGTGGCCGTTATAACTTACAGTTTCTTTGCTACAAGCAAAGAATACCATCTGTGAACCCCCCCAGTTCCCCGCAGAGCCCTGGCATGTTATTCTAACAAAGGCCCACCAAGGGCTGCAACCTTTGAACACTAGTAGGTAGGGACACAGAGACACAGAGAGTGAGACAGACACGGAGACAGAGGTGTGAAGGGCTGGATGGGTGGGATGCAGAGAAACAGAACAGAATTTTCTTTCTCTTGCTTTCGGCTTCATTGAAACAAACCTGACTATCGCTGTGATGGATGTGCTGCCTGGAAACCAGCTGGGCGTCTCATCTGGACACGATTCACATTCTTATATTGTCTTAGGAGACTCTGTCCAGGGCTGAGTCTTAACAGGACATGGGAAGGGTAGGGAGTGAATGTGAGAAGAAAAGGCGAAAGGAAACGTCTCGCTTCCTTTTTCTTTGGATGTCACCACGTGAGATGCGTTGCCAACCTTCTTCTATTCACCATGGCTCCTGGCCGCCCACCCATCAGAGCCACAACTTGACTACACGGTGCGCAAGCTCATAATGGAGCTTCACGTAACGGCCCACGGGAGCAGGGAGGCCCCAGGCCCCTTCCTTCCTGCCTGTGACTTAGAGGTGGTTTTACAATGGCACGCATACAAATGTGCACGCATACGCACACACGTTCACCTGTACTCAGATGCACGCCTCTGGGAACGTACATCTTGTGCTATTCAGAGGTCCGGGAGGCTTCTGAGCCACAGGACCACATAAGCTCTACTCCAGCTTCCACACCTATTTTGCTGTGTGACTGAGGACAAGTCACCTCCCTCTCTGAAACTTGGTATCTTCCATTGCTCACAGGATACTCAAGATCAATTCCTAATACCAACAGGAATCGTGATGGTCCCTGAGCAGACATGGACGTGCACGCGCGCACACGTACACACACACAAACACACGCACACTCCCCACACCCATAGTACATGCGTGTAGATACTATGGCTACCTGATCACAAACCAGAGATAATTCTCCCCCAGTCATAAAATCTTAAAATACAGGATGAGCTGAATTCCTTTCCTGGCCTCTCCACATCAGAGTTCATTTATCTTCTTCAAACATTTAAGCTCAAATGACCGCAATGAAACAAATGCAAATAAATAATCCCAGAGCTTAAAATTTGAGGCAACAGATCTTCCTTTAAATTAAATAAACGCTTCCCATCTCAGCCATATCTTACCCAGATAGAGTCACAGCAGTGATCGATCATGTTCCTTCTCTAATTATTTCACTGCCCCACCCCTACCCTTCTTCAAGGTCTCATCTCTACCGGCAGCTCTGTTTCAGCTTTCGTATTGGAATACGGTGTATGAATATTTTAGTTCCCTAAGTTCCCAGCACACCCCTGCCCCATGCTTCCCTTCGTAGGATTCGCCTCTGGCTTAATTTCTAGCCCCTCAAGCCTGAGGTTAGTGATTCATACCTGGGCCAGGCTCCCGAGCTGTATCATCTATAGCTCGTTTACATGGACCTTAGGCTTCCTCTGCCAACTCCCTGGCTCTCCTTCCGCCAAGAAGAGGTGATGGAGGTACGGGGTGGACAGCTCAAAAAAAAATGTTTTTTTTTTCTTTTAATGGGCATAAAGTCAAAAGAAGAACTCTACGGAGCACGGCTCAAAGTTTGCAGGAAAGAGCCTGCAAATAGTTCCAGAGACACGATTAGTGACAAAGTTCCTACTCACAGCAGCTGTAGGGACACCAGCCCGTCAAACAATCCCTTGGCAATCTCGGTGATCTTGTTCCCATAGAGCACCCTGGAAAAGAGCAGAGAGGACAGCGGTCACTGCGGATGAGAGGCCACTGGAACTCCTTCAAGGAGGAGGCCACCAGCTTGGCCCGCTCTGGGGGGCATCTCAGAGCACTGGCTTCCCCAGCCTGCCTCACCTTCTCCTCCCCAGTGAGACAGTGGGCTAGTGCCACTGGGGGGGCTGCAGGGGCAGGCTGTCCGGGAGGCGAGGAGAAATGGGCTCCAGCCTGTTCTACCCCTGGGCAGCCCAGCTCAATAAATCACCCACAATAGGAAGACGCAATCGCTTTGTGGTGTCTCCCAGAGCTGCTAATATGACTCACACCCCAGCAGTAAATAAGATGTGTGGGAAGCTGGCCGGCCCTGTGTTTTCTTGTCTTCAATGGGTATTGATCAGGCTGAGCCCAGCCTATATAGAACGTTTCCTTTTAATATCCTGTTGCATCCTAGGAATTCCTGAGCTGAGTCCTTTATCATCCATCTAGACAGGGCTTTGGGTATCTGGCGTCCTATCCAGATGGCTCAGGGACTGCTGAGTCAAGGACTGGCTCTTAGGAAAAACTAGGGAGCAAGGAATTGTTATTGCGGTACCAGCAGCTTCTACATTACAGCCTTTTTTCCTATCCTCTGAGCTCCAAGAGCTAAGGAACTCAGAATTCTTTTACCCTTCTCTCTTCCAGCCTACAGAGTCCCTCACACTGGGTGTCCTATTCAAGGGCTGGTCTCTGGTGATCTGTGAGGCTTAGGGAAGAAGTGTACTGGGTCTGCCTCCCCCGAAGACACTGCTGGCCTCTCTCTGCTCTCATCCATGGCACAGACTTTGCTGTCTCTTGGGTCCAGCCTCCTCCGAGATGGAGGGAACTTAGCTAAGAAGAATTAAAAAAAAAAAATTCCCTCTCGAGCTCTGGAGTGCCTTGAATGAACGCAGGATTCGATCCCCACTCAGATTGCAAATTCAGGCTGTGATGTGTCATCGAGGAGGCCAAATATTAGGATGAGGAAATGGTCAATGGGAGCGATAAACCCAACTCCCCATCTTCCAGACGCCACCAGGAGTGAAGAGGGAGCCTCCCGCTCAGCCTGCGGGTGTGTTTCATGAATGTTTCAACAAACTAACGGCTAAATAAAAGTCAGCACAATGGCTCAGGCTTGCATTTGTAATTCATATTATTAATGTCCCACTGCTCACTGTGCCAAATGCAGTCGTGTCACTGTCTGTTCGCTGATGTTAGAACCTGCAGCGTAGCAGAAGCCGGAAGGACAACGGGGCTGGCGGGGGGGGGGGGGGGGGTTCCTCAAATCATGTGTCCGTATGGGGCGTCTCTAAGCTTCAGTGGGTCAAAACTACTCTCCGGCAGGCTGACGTGGGCTGTGGGTCCACCTTGGGGCACCTGGGTGTAGACCTGTCTGGCTTTATCCCCAGATCTCTCCTTGACTTTCCTTCCCACCTTTCAGATCTGGGCTCAAACACCTCGTCCTTGGGAAGCTTCTCTTGAATATCTTAGTCAACATTTTCTACCACCTGTCACTCTATTTTTATTTCTTCATCCCTTTTCATTACGTCATGTTATATTACTCATACATTTATTTATTTTAAACATTTTCTGTGCCGCCCGCACTGGCCCCCTTGAGTATAGGTTCTGTATGTGGTGACATCATGTGGCTTGCTCATGGCTGGGTCCCTAGAGTCGAAATCTGAATAGGATCTAACACAATAAATATCTGTTGAAAGAATGAACAGCCCTGGGCTCTCCTGGTGGTGCAGTGGTTAAGAATCCGCCTGCCACTGCAGGGGACACAGGTTCGAGCCCTGGTCCGGGAAGATCCCACATGCCGCGGAGCAACTAAGCCCGTGCGCCACAACTACTGAGCCTGTGCTCTAGAGCCCGCGAGCCACAACTACTGAGCCTACGTGACACAACTACTGGAGCCCGTGTGCTTAGAGCCCGTGCTCTGCAACAAGAGAAGCCACCGCAATGAGAAGCCCACGCACCGCAACAAAAAGTAGCCCCCGCTCACCGCAACTAGAGAAAGCCCGCGCGCAGCAGCGAAGACCCAGTGCAGCCAAAAATAAATTAAAAAAAAAAAGAATGAACAGGTCTGGGGTAAAGGCTTTCCTGCCCTTTCCGTTGGCTATTCCTGACTTTGGATTGGGTGTGTTGGTATTCAAAGCTCCATGATGTCAAGGGTCTTGTCTGTCCAGTTCACTGCCACATGCTCAGTGCCTATAAGGCTACTCAGTACACAGGAGGCATCTACTGAATGGCTAAATGCATGCATTGGGGGTGAGAGGCGCTTCACTTAAACAATGCCCTGATATATTTCAGAATTGGCTAGCGGCATGCCAATGTCCTGTTTGGCAACCAGATTTTGAATTTCTTTTCCTGCAAGACAGGAAGCGTCTCACTGTCCTCAGACTGTTCCCAGATCCCAGCAGAGGGACAGCAGACAAGGGGAACAGGAGGGTGGGGACAGGGATAGGACCGCGGTGGCAGATGGCCACTCTCCCTTCTCCTCTGTGATCTTCAGCGCAATAAGCAGACACTAATCTCACACACAATCCTGTCTTTGATATCCCAGCCAGATGTTCTACCTGATAAATGAAACTACTTTTCTCCGCCAGCAGCAGGCAACAACTGAATCAAGAGACTTCCCTGTCTTCAGCCCCTTCCCAGTGGGATAGGGCCAGCTGGGGGAAGAATGTGTGTCTTGTTACCTGCCCACTTATCCATTAAACAAACCGGTTGCACAGAGAGACAAAGCATGGACAGCTTGCCTCTGAGCATCCTCACTCTTGCCCGGGTGGGCAGGTCACCAAATAATACAAAAAATATCAACTGATGATACCTTTGCTGTATCTTATACTTTTTATGTTATCTCAGGAGGGCAGCATAGCATGGGGACCAAGAGCACGGTTCTGGAGTCAGACTGCTTGGGTCTAAATCCTGCCTCTCTCGCTTGTTACCGCGGACTTTGGATAAGTTACGTTTATTTATTCAACACATTTTTTTGGGCACGATAACTACGTGCCAGGTACTGTTTGAGGTGCCAGAGATTCAGCCAGGATCAAAAGAAATAAAAACCTCTGTCTGTGTGGAGCTTAGATCACCCAATTTCTCCAACCATTAAAGACAGGAGAGGATAGAGCCTATATTTTAGGTCATGGTGAGGGTGAAACTTGCAAGCCTCCTAGAATAGTACCAGGTACAGAGTAGGTGCTCAGTAAGTACTGCCAATGATTGTTGGGACTGTAATCGTGAACGTGTGTCAGGCAGGAAAGGTGTCATCGTCCCCATTTTGCCTGTGAGGGAATGTGCACAGAAGACTCAAGTGACAGTCCCTGTGCCACAGGGCGAGTCACTGGCAGAAATCAGGACAAAGCTCTGTACTTCGCTGCCCCTGAGGGTCTCTGAGCCCCTGGTGGGCACAGCTTTGGTTCCATCCACTAGGCTGCTTTAGGGTTTGAAAGTCAAAGAAAAGAAAGGCTTATAGGATGGGGTTAATGCTTTCTCAGGACAATAGCCGTGAGGTTGGTCTGGAGAAAAAGGCTTCAAATCAGAGGAAGAAAATGAGCTCCTTCCTTGACAAGGTCACACGCACGGGTAAAATGGGCACATGGTAATAATCATACATTACGACTCTCTCCCTCCACCTCCCCGGACAGCACTGCCTAGGCATGTGGGATGGGAGTGCGGTTAGAGGAGAAGATGCATTTGAATTAGAAGCCAATAACCAGGAAGGCTGCTGGGCACTTAATCAATAAAAAGAATGCATTTGGGCTTGTAGAAATATTCCCCAAGATCAATTTACCCTGAAGAAATATTTGTTTCTTTTACCAGGTTGACACAAGTGTGTAAGGGAACATAAAACCTTGATAAACACCCCCTGAAAAATATGGACGCCCCCCTCGCCCATGCTCCCACCCACACCCTACGCGCTTTGCTCCCCACTTACAGAGATGTGAGTGATTTCAGACCCTGGAAGGCGTCTGGAGCGATGTCCGAGATCTGATTCTTGCTGATGTCTCTGAAAAATTAACCAGAGACTCTGAGAACATAGCTCAAGGTGTGCTATGGCCGTTCCTAAAGTGTGGACCAAGCATTTCAGGTATGCAAAATGGTGAGGATGAATTCATCACTTAATCAATTTATTTATTCAGAGCGTGCGAGCAGGGGCTTAAGGATCATTCAGTTCAACTGCCGCATGATAAAATGCTCTGTATTTGTACCACTCTCCTTGGCTTTCAAAGAATGCTCAGTCGTGGCACCTTGACTTTGACATAGGGCCATGCACACGCGAGCCTTCACTTTGCAGGTGGGAAACGGAAGCCAGTTAAGTTAGGGCCTCATCGTAGGTCTCACAACTGAGCAATTATAGCATAAACAAAGCAAAAGCTGGCCTTGGTCAAACACAGCCCAAGGTTCCCGTAAGCCTCACTTTCTTGCCTCACGCCTTGGCAAATGCTTATTTTTGTCCCCAGAAGTCCTGAGTCATTTCACCTCCCCAGTGACTTTTCCTTCCTGACCTGAATGGAGGTTTTGAGCAGTGGCTTAAGTGTCTGTCTGGTTCAGTGCATCTTCCAGGCCGGGTGATGTAAAGACATCATGAGAGTCTCATGGGATGGCTTTGAGATGTGGGCTTGTTGCTGGCGGTCCTCGTGAGACGGGAACAAGCCCAGGGCGATGATGATCAGGGCTTTGGGATAATGTGAGCGAGAAGGATGCTGTGTGTTAGAAGGCAGCTAACCTGGCCTCGTTGGCGCAGAGGAATCTCCCTGACCCAGAGGCTGCTCACTCTGCAGCACCCCAGGGTCTTCTGAGCGCCTGTCTCACTAACAACACTTTCCTGAAGAGGGAGACTTCTCTTTAGGAGTTATTAGCTCAGGGACAGCCTCGGGGCTCCTGTCCCCGGAAGGGGAGATGCTCCAATTTCCAGCTACAATGAACCTCTCTGGTTCCTTTCCTTTACCAAAATAAATCAATGCGTCTTTGCTTTTGTGGAGAAGAGGGAGAGCTGGGGTCTCGGAGGATCAACAAGGAGGAGGGAAGAGAATATTGAGAAGCAAGAACATCTAAGCAGATTCCTTAGCAATTACCTCCAGCGAGGCCAGACGCCCCAGCCCCACAGCCTCTTAAGCTCAGTCCTTCTGCCTGTTTCTCTCCTCCTTCTACTATCCTTCAAAAGGGCCGCCCAACAACCTTTGCCTAGTCCTCTGCTCCCTTCCCTCCTTGTTTCCAAGACCTGCGAGTTGAAAGATACTCCACAGGTTAAGGTTGCTTAGGCACGGCTGTCAAGCTTATCCCTTTAGCAGGCGAGATCGCCTCTAACAAATCCACAGATTGTGCTCGCAAACTAGTCAGCTTACACTGGCCTTTTCTTCAGAGCTCTGCTTTTGTATAAGGGTCTTAACAAGCAAATGCTCCGGATTATCCTAATCTTGCTAGCCCTCAGCCTGGCTGCCTAGCAAGGCATTTCAGGCAAGCGTGCAGGGTCGGTGCTCGGATCAGACTAGTGAGAAAGCCTCATTGGTTTATTTCTTTGGTGTTTTTTTTTCCTGACATTTTTAATGTGATGTCCCTTCAAGGTCCTTGGCCCTCTGCCGTGTCAGAGGAGGTTCTGTGACCAGTGGGGAAGCCCTCTGCTTTAGCCTTGTCAGGGCAAATTCATGTCTAGTTCAGAGCTAGAATCCTGGGTGCACCCGTCTCTAAGGACAAGGTGAGATGTCTCGCGATTTGGAGATGCTGGGGAATGGAGACTGGAGAAGTGATAGTTTAGCTGGGAACTGACCCTGGTGGTCACTCCATCTTAGTTCTTCATTCTGCAGGAAGGGAACAGCAGCCACAGGTAAAGGACCTGTAGCCACAAGTGACTGGACACAGCGATTTGGGTACAGAGCTGGCATCTCCAGTCTCCCTTCCATTTCATCGTGATGGGTGCAGAAGGTGGTGGCCCTGGACAGGAAGGTAGACTGGGGAAGGCGTCAGTGCCCACGCATCTCCACGCTCAGGTGGTCCCAGAGCTGACTTCTGGTGTCTGGGTCGCCCTCGATGGCCAGTGGTTCTCAAACCTCACTAGGGTGTTTATTAAAATGCACCCACAGAGGGTCTGATTTGGCCCTCTGGAGAACTGGGGTTAGAAATCTGCATACGTACCAAGTCTCCAGATGATTCCCAAGCAGGCGGTTTCTGAGTCATACTTTAGACAGTATTTCAGAATCTGGTCTGTCTCAAGCCTACCCCAGTCCCCTGGGGCTTGATAAACCGGATGGCAGAGAAGAAGTGGCCTTTGCATACAGTTCAGAAGAAAGGTGGTAAATTCCAGTGCCGACGAGGGTCAAGCGGGGATTATAAGCGTGAGACACTAGGAACTGGTGGAACTTGTGGAATATTGCTCTACCTTAGAACGTGGGAGGGAAAGATCTCAACACCTTTGAAGGTTTGGCCTTCAAGTGTCAGCGCTCTCGGTTAACCAACCCTGTAAGACTGGGGCATCCTCTGTAACGTCTGCTACTCTCCCTGTAGATGGCGCCTGTATCTTGGTACTAGTTTTCACCTGGAAGTACATTTTTTACACTAAGCTGACCGCTAGAAATTCATCCTCTTCAGGGACAAAGCCATTCAACATTCAGTCAAGCCATTCAATCAAGGAAAATTTTTTTTTCTTTTTGTCATTGGAGATAAGAAGAGGATGAGGTTCACTCACAGCTGAGGGAAAACTTTTTTCTGTGAGATATTAGAGATAAACTGGTCACGTATACCTAGGAGGAGTTCACCCTTAGGGTTTTAAATTCCGTTTTCACCAGGGACCCTACTTCTCCAAAGCCCTCGCACTTCAGTCTGGGTTTCTGAAGTTCTGTTAGTTAGAAAAAATTTTAAGTGGTCTCTCTTCCCTACCGCCATCCCCTTGGTGGGGTGGGGGTGGGGGGGGGGGAAAGGGCATCATAGTAAATATCAATAGCATCAGAAGTGATCAAAAATGAAATTTACTTCCCAGGTCGTGACGGAGAAGATCTTATGAATTTTGAATGCACAGATCATGGCAACTCCAATGGGATGGAGAAAGGACAGTAAAACATAGTCACACTCTAAATTACCTGGACTTCGCAAAAAATTAGAGCAGTCACTTAAATCATGTAAGAGATATAGGTTGGGGCAGTGGCTGAACTTGTCATTTTTCACTGAAATTACTATCTGGCTGCATAATCAAGCTGGGCTTTAAAAATGAATTGGGGGGGTGCATATGGGGAGTGAGCTGGAGAAGCAGGGAGGCCAGGAGATTAATGGCCCAAGGTTTAAATATTAAGGCCTATATTTATACAGCTCCTCCAGCAGGAAGGCTGCCAAAGGGAGGGAAGGAGTATGTGCTTAGAGCTGGCGCATCATGTTGGTTTCTACTTCTGGAACTGTACCAGGAGAAAATCTTGTTTGGTGTGGCTTTCCAGGGAGATGGGAAGTTGGCTTCCTAGGATCTGAGGGTAAAGCGTACCAATGCCACTGTTTCGCAGGGATGTTTATTTTTAACATAAAAGGAGCAAGCAGACACTTAACCTCTTTAATGCAGGCCCTCCTACTCAAGGGAAACCGATGAATCAGCCCGCGGTGCAAGGGAACAAAACCCAAGTCCATGCATATTTCTACCTGCCCTCTCTCTTTTCTCTGTGTGGGGGGCCAGAGGGAGTAGGCAAGCACAATGAAAGCAGCATCGTGATTACTGGGCTATAATAAATGATTTCTTAGCCTGGAAAAGGGACAGGAGCCTCCCTCCTAGGCTCTTAATATCTGTGATGGCAATGGCTGGGTTGTTTCTGAATCCTACTAGCCTCCCTCCAGAGCACCCCACTCTGAGTGACTCACAGATCAGTGCTCAGGGTGGTCACGTGATGGGGAGGGTTGGTGCTGATGACGTTACCACGATGGCAGGGATGAGGGCCGTGAGGCTCAGATGCTGTCAGTGGAGTAGGGAAGGTACACTGCAGTGTTGGTGTCAGCAGGTACTGATAAGCTGCAGTGATGGCGTGGTATTGGATATGGTGGTAACGGCCATGCTGGGGATCATAATATGGGCAAGGGAGGTTCCAAGGCTTCTTATCTCACTTAGAAAGATTAGAAAGTCCTTACCATGGTCTAAAGAGCCCACGGGAGCTGGCCCTTATCTACGTCTCCAGCACAATCCCCACCACTTTCTCTTCATTCACTCTGTTCCTCCTCTCTAGTCTGCAAACCATCCATGCATATGCTCCTGAGAACTCCTCTAGACTCACTCCCTTCCTTCATTCAGGTCGCTTGCACACAGAGGCCTTCATGGGTCAACCCATCTAGAGACCACCCCTCCATCAATCTCTAGCCCCTTCCCTTCTTTTGTTTTACTTTCTAGTACTGGTCAGTTTCTGACATTTACTTGGTTTTATTTCTGTGCCCTCCCATTCAAATCCACAAGCTCCATCAGAGGAGACTTCGTTTTAGTTCACCCTCTACCCACAGATCCCAGCACAGTTCTTTGTTCCTGATGGACACTGGCTAAGAATTTGTTAGATGAATGCGTGCACGGTGGTAGGGATGCTGGTGACGGTGCTGTAGGACGATATAGGGAAACGGCCACATCTCTACTGAAGCCCCTACTTGAGGTCCGCATCCCCCAAACCAGGGGACAATCAAATGGTGAGATGGGATTGTTTTAGGCTGACACAGCCCCACCTCCCACCCAGATAATTTTACTTCACTCTAGTTGGAGTTGCCCTTAGATCTGAGGTGCCTAAACCCATACACCGCCCCATCTGAATGCAGCACCCTGGTCTTACCTCGCCGTCTTGGGAGCCATTCCAGGTCTGACACTGCACTCTCCTGAGGGTTGTGATGCAGCCTCTCATCTGGGCAGGCTGCCCACTACACACAGTACCCCCCGAACTGAAAACATTTGGGCCCATTTCTCTCCAGGGGAGACTCACATTCGCTTCAGTTTCTTGTATTGGGTGAAGGCTCCAGCGGGGATGGATTTGATGGAGTTCTGTTCCAGGCGTCTGAGAAGCAGAGCAGAAAAGAGTCGATTAACCATCCACCCATCAACAAATGGTTGCCGGGGGCCTTGAGGACAGGATGGTCTCTCCCATCACGTGGCATACATCCTTAGATGAAGGAGACTTGGTAAACACCGTCCGAAAGCCAGAGACTGGGGTTCTGGTGTGTGGGGCAGCCAGCTCAGGGTCTGATACCCCTGGGAGAAAGCTAGAAAAGATGTCTTCTCCTTGAGCATATTTGGTTCTCGTTTATGATACGTTGTCTTTGGGAGGCAGCTGTCATCCTCAGAAAATGCTGTAGGAAGTAACCAGAAGGCTGAAAAAGTCAAAGGGATAAAGAGAAGGAAGAGTAAAGACAGATGGACAGATAGCAATGCCTACCTGTTCTGGAAGCATGTCACCATTCAGTGAAAACCTCCACCATCCTGCTGCTGGGGTGCAGTACAGGCAGAGACTGCACTTCTGGGCTTTTCTTTTTTTTAATGGAGGTATAATTGACATATAACTTTAGTTTCAGGTGTACAACCTAACGATTCAGTATTTGTTTCTGGGTTTTTCAATCGGCTGTTCTAATATGATGAAGAAATAGCCTTCAAGTCTCTAGGCTCCCAGCCTGACATTCATCACACTGGCTCCCTGATATCCTGAGGGCCCCAGGGGCCCTGAATGGATCACTCCCCTGGGTTGCTGCTACAGTCTGTAGCTTTATGGCCTTACGGACTTTGCTGAATTGCTCTCTCTCCTATTACTCCGGAAAGAACAAGAGATGCTGCAGGCCCAGGGCCCAGAGCTTCCTTGGAAGAGAAGGAGCATGGGGAGTGAGCAAGCCTTTTCATCCTTCATTCTTTCATCTATCAAATGACTTCCCGCCGCCAAGAACAGGTGTGGTGGGAAACAGGCATGAGCGGAAGGCGGGGCCCTCTATTAGAGGTGATGAATGGTGGCCTGGTCCACATCTCGCGTCTCTCCGAGGTGTGGATCTTTTCATCACCTCCTCATTTGGCATGAATGATCCCCAAACCCTCTGCTGGGAAGACATAAAAAAGTGTGTGTGTGTGTGTGTGTGTGTGTGTGTGTGTGTGTGCGCGCGCGCGCAAGGGGAGGGCTGGGGGAGCACGAGGCAGACATGGGAGGAACTGGCTCCCTTGGAGGCTCCATTTGGAGGATGTACACTTCTGGCTGGGATGAACCCATTCATCTTGAAGAGTAATCCCCGCTGCAGAAGAGGGGAGACAGTTGTATTAATTTGTGCCTCTGCAATCTCATCTTCATTGGGGGAAAGAGAGTATTTGTTACTGGAACCACTAATGGAGCAGTCTGCCAGCAATTTTCCCATTTCAAACAACATCTCAGCTGCTAACGTGGAATGGTTTGTCAGGCCTACCCATAACACAGACAAATCACTCTCCAGGCCGAAGGAAGGGGGTGAGGGGGGTGGAGACAGAGGAAGGGTGGGTGCGAGGAGAGAGGGAGCATCAGGACGGATCATTCTTGGCTGCCGGATGAATCGAGTCTACAAATGAGGCTGCCACGGTCTATTAAGAGAGTCTCTTTGGGGCCGGAGGGGCCAGGGAGTGTGCTCTGTCGAGCACGTGGGCATAGGCTGGCTGGACAGCGGCCTGGTTGGCCTGTGGTGAGCCAAAACAGCATGCCACGAGGTCGCAGAGGCTGCGGGCTCCTGGATATAGCCACCCACAGAGGCAGCAGACCCGGGCAGGCTGCCTTGACTGAGAAGTTCCAAGGACATTCTCCTTTTCCAGCTGAGCAGAGTTCAGGGATTTCTCAGCCAAGGCAGCAGCTCTGTGAACCTCTGGGGCTGCCAGTCGGGTGGCAGATGCTCTCCAGGAATCCTGGGGTCCACCTGCCATCTTGGCAGGGGGATTGCGGCTGGAGGATGCCTCTGGAGAGAGCCACTGTCTGTAACGATGGCCATCCCCTCAGTTTCTGCACTGCTCCCGGCTGCAGGCCAAGAGCCCAAGCTAGTCAGGTCAGCTGGCTGACCGTGCAGTTCATAATGAATAACGTCCACTTTAGCAATGGGTGCAAGAGCTAAGGGAAGGATGAAACAGTGAGTAGGATGTGATACCCATCCCCAAGGAGTTTAATCATCTGGTGATAGAGACCAGCCCAAGACGGTCCATCACAGAACCAGATTTTATTGCTAACCGAATAAGAAGAGTTGTCCTTTGTGGAATCGAGTTGGTTTAGGTCTATTATCTCTGTGAATCCTTACACTTCTGAGGCAAGCTGTGTTGGCCCTACTTTGTGGACAAGGAAAATAAAACCTACATGGATCAAAGAGCCTATCCGAAGTGCCAGAGCTAATAGGTGGCGGAACTGGCATCTTCCTCTTTCCGTCCATTGGATGCACTGCCTTCTCTATTTTTTGAAAACAGAGAAAGTGAAGTCCATATACTAAAATAGCTTTCCCAAAGTCCCAGAAAAGTTTAAGGGGTGAAGACCCCAGTACTCATTCTGAGACATCATGCAGTCCCTGCAGAAGTAGGTATGTTGTAAAAAGGCTGTAGGAGTTGAGGGAAGATGGAATATAGATGCACGTGTATATATATATACACACACATTCACACACACACACATATATAACAATATATGTATAAAATATGCAAATAGACTGCAAAGGTGTGGCTTTGAACAAAGAATTCCCATCTCAGCCTGTTAACCCTGGCAGGGACGTTGCTGTGTATCCTGTACGCTGTACCCTTGCACACTCTGGGGATGGTCTTTATTTCTGCAGTCTCTCTGCCTCTTATGCTGCTGTGGGTACCTGCTGGACATGCAACACCCTTACAGGGTGCCAAGGCCAGGACATGATGTGGGTGAGCCTTGCCCCAGGGGGCATTAGGTCTACTTCAGATGTAAAGTTAAGGCAAGGGTGAGGACAATAACAGTAAGAGCTACTAGGTATCAGCTTGGACTTGTAAGTCAGGCATCAGACTAAGAGCTTTGCACCGTACATCTAACTTAGTACTGACACCTCTCTGAGGCAGACCCTGTTTGTTATCACTACTCCCACTTTAAACATGAGAACACCGAGGCTCAGAGACGTTAAGTCACTTGTCCATATTCACAAAGCCAGGAAGAGCTACAGCCGGGACTCAAACTCAAGTTCATCCAATTGGAAAGCCTGCACTCTCGGTCACTGAGCTTTGCTGAACACCGTTCGCTGCTGAGGCACCTCTATTCCTTTAGTCATTGCCCACTTATCCTCAGGAAAACTGCCCCTCGGTCAAGGAAGGAAGTCTGGGGTGTGTGTGCACACGCACGTGTGTGGGCACACACACAGGCTCTACACAGCAGCAGCCTCTGGTGGGGTTTACATGGCTTGGAACAAGCATGCAAAGACCCGTACTCCCAGGGACAAAAATTCAGAGTGAAGGACAAAAAGCAGCTTTAGCGTCAGCAAAAACTGTCACATTTAGGGATGTGTCTGAAGCCAGCGGCTGTCTTTGGTCTCTCTTAACCGGCACATGTGTCTTTCTTTGGCAAACATTCTTCCGGCTGCAAACTGATTTAATAGAACTAGCATAAAAACAAACATACAAACCAAACATCTGAGCGTCTTCCGGCGCTGGTAGAAGCAATGCGAACATCTGATGGGGGCTTCAGTCATTTGCGTTCTGTATTGATTTGCCCTAGTTCCTCAGTGCTTCCTTAATGATCTGTCATTCGCAAACACGCGACTGAACACAATATATTTCTAGCAATACATAAGTCAACGTGATGCCAGAGGGACTGGCAGGGGCATAGCTAGTGCAGGGCCACGGCAGCAAGTCACCTGATAAAGAGTTTCTGGAGCTGGATTCGAATATTGGTTGCAATAATGGTGGACATCTACCATTTATTGAGGGCTTTCTATATATCAGACACCGTGCTCTTCACACACTGGCTCATTTTATTCCTTCAGCAATACTACAAAGCAAGTAGTATCACTAATATAATAACAACAGAGATGAGGCATGTGGGCATATGTGACATGAGTCATTCCTAACCAGCTTTGCAGAGCACCTGGCATTGCCTACAGAAAACCGAGGTGCAGACACAGAGCCAGATTTGCTCTTCTTATTATATGCGTATTCTCAGATGCCTCCAGCAGACAAATCTTTGTTGTCAACTTAGAAAAAAATGAGAACTTGAGACTAAAGCATTCTATCATGTCACATATGTAACATGTGCACAAGCTTTTTCCTTTTAGATTCCACTTAGGAGCTTTCAAACGTTGTGCTAACTTTCTATGCAATTAGGTTATATTATTTAATCTTCATGGAGAATCTCGAGTAGGGATGATGAGCCCCATTTTGCAAAGATGGGAACTAAGTGAAACATGAGATGTTAAGAAAGGTACCCAAAGAGGCAGAACCGGGATCCAAACCCAGGACTATCTACCACAAGGCTCTATTCTTAATTATTCTGCTGCCTGATCAGCTTCACCTTTATCCCACCTGCCCCCAACCCACCCCATCCCCCCTCCTTCCACATGGCAGCCCCCCAGAAACCTCGTGTCCTCAGAAGAAGATGTGGTATGTATATACAATGGAATATTACTCAGCCATAAAAAAGAACAAAATAATGCCATTTGCAGCAATGTGGCTGCAGCTAGAGATGATCACACTAAGTGAAATAAGTCAGAAAGAGAAAGACAAATACCATATGATATCACTTACATGTGGAATCTAAAATATGGCACAAATGAACCTATCTACAGGACAGAAACAGACTCACAGACATACAGAATGGACTTGTGGTTGCCAAGGGAGAGGTGGGGGAGGGAGAGGGATGGACTGGGAATTTGGGGTTGGTAAATGCAAACTATTACATTTAGAATGGATAAACAACAAGGTCCTACTGTATAGCACAGGGAACTATGTTCAATATCCTGGGATAAACCAGAATGGAAAAGAACATAAAAAAAAGAATGTATATATGTGTAAAACTGAGTCACTTTGCTGTACAGCAGAGACCGGCACAACCTAGTAAATAACTAT